TATAAAGAAAGATGGGGAGGCAATAAATATGATGGAATTGAGAAATTCAAGGTATACTGTAGAATATATCTTGGAAAACTGTGTTGCCTCAAGATCTGCAGCCCATCAACTGATACAAACTCTTATAACTCCAGTGATATTAAAAGATTACAATATCCATTCAGTAACAGTAGTGCATCAGAAGCCCACTTTTACGTGGATATTACTATGATTCCCAGGCATTGTTCTGCAAAGAAACCCTTTTCCTGTAAGTAAAACCTACAGCTTTCTCTCCTATATGTAATAGTGCATACAGATATTATGTGATAGTCATACTGTTCCTCTAAATCCACAGCATGCCCACATTGCTGAGCACAAGTCATCAAACACCATTATATAACAATACATCAGTTTTGGCCACCAACAACCTCTGGATACTGTCTCAGCAAAAATTTCATGTTTTCTTCCAAGTCACAGCTAAAAATATTGAGCATTAGGCTAAGAAAAAACTTAATGTGTTACTGCAATTAACAAGCCCATTTTCTGATACCACCCGAAATAACTAATAAATATTTGCAACATAACAATATTTTACTATGGCATTTTTTATTAGAGTAATAAGAGATGAAATGTTCTGTGGGCTAAAAATTAAGATACTACTGATCTGACAGGTAAGCTGTACAAATATGAGATTAGTTTAGCATGAAGAAATATTCATTTAGCAAAAAGAGACTTAGCATGAAAGTCTGCTGGCTGATAAAAGTAATATTTATGTCATTTAGTTTTTTGTGTTCTATCTCTGTATCTGCTCTTTTTCTCTCCCTAGAATCAATCTGTGTGGTGAGTCCAACACTCAGGTGCATTTTTATATTCTTAGCATTTCCCTAGACTGCTATTTAAAACTACAAGCCCTCCTCTAAAGAACTTTTGGGACAAATTTTAAAACTACCAGTACAATTTATCCACTTCAATGAGTAGGGAGTGAAACATATTTAATGTTCTGTGTTAAAATACATTTCTTATTCTATGAGTTTATTATAAGCAAAACATGCAGATTTAGTCTTAAATTCAGAGCAAATGAGGCCACATTGGACTCCTCTTATCTTTAACATCTGTGAAAGATACTACAACGTGAAAAGAACAGAAGACATCAGGCTGATCATGTCTAAAAGTGATATATGTATGTATTTAATCAATTTTCATAGTTTTTTTCTAAGAAAAATCTAGGGGTTTTGTTCTATTTGACATCTTTTACCTATAAATGGGTAACTGCCTTGCCCTGCAGGAGAACAGAAGTCATCTTGATAAATCTGGTCTAGCAGCAGATCCATTCTTCTGAGTCGATCTGGTCTCTTGGTCTAATTCCTCGTGAACGGCTGTCTACATAACAGAATCAACATGCTACCTGGCACCATTGCTGGCAAATACAGCCAACAACTAACAGAGCTTGGCAACTGAACTGCTCTCTCCTCAAAAAAAAGCTTCAAAATTCAGAAATAAAGCACAGAGTTTGAAGAACAGTAGGAAAACCTCAATGCCATAATTAGTGCTATAATTTTGTCTACCTGCTAAGTAGAAGCAGGATTTTAACCTTTTGGCATGTCTGTTTAGAGCCCTTAGTAGAGATAGATTAAAACAAACATACATACAGAAGTTGGTGAGTACTAAATCTTGCAGTCTTTTCCAAGAGGAATGGCATAGAGTTGAATCTGGGGGACTACAAAGCCGCTGCATGACTAGACTCACATTCAGAAAAACAAAGAGAAATACTACTCTGTGCCTCTAGCACTGACTGTTTATTTATTTCAGTGTCATACAGAAGATCGCTTACTGTTCAGCAGTATGCAACCATACCACCTGCTGCCAACAGCACTATTCAATGTGAGGATCTCAGTTCACTGGTACCACCACCATGTACCAGTAAGCATGTAAGAAAAACCTCAGTCAAATCACAAAAGATATGGTTTTAAATCAAGCAAGGAGGAGGAGAAGAAATTTCCTGGATTAAGTGAACCACAGAGATATTTTAATCAGAACACAAAAGAAAGTTGAGACAAACACCAACTGACTCGGATCATATCGCATCAATAATCCATGCACAGAGCCTCTGCTGAAATCAATGGGAGGCTTGTGTGTAAGTGGATTGTATAATATAAATGCATGTCCCTATTTAGGGTTCCACACACAAAAGAGAAAGCAGTACTAAGAACAATTCCCTTAATTAGCATTTCTCTTCCATCAAGTGCTTCTAAAATAATAAATCCTAACTTTACACAGCTCTGTTTTCATTCACAGTTTTTATCAGAGGTGGGAAAATAACTGACCCCATTTAACAAATAAGGGAACTGAAGCATAGGATGCAAATTAAACTGAAGAGCAGGGCAGTAGGCAGAACTGAACTGGGAATAGCAGTTTACCTACTGAATCACAGTTTAATGTCCTAGATATTTAGATGCTTATCTAGTTCAAGTCTCTCATTAGGGTGATTCTGTGCAGTCCTCAAATAATTTTGCATGCTTCCTAAAGTACCTCTGCACAGCGATATGCTTATCTCTATGAGTTTCCCACTCAATAATGTCCCTTTTTTGAGGATTGCAAATGTTCTGAAGAGGTTCAAAACACTGGACTGCCCTGGTCAGACTCCCTTGGTACCCCCCATGAGTCTTGCCATGAGTCACAGGCAATAAAGGATTTTAAAATTGGCTGTCAAATCCACACTTTCCACATGCTTTTTCTATTGTTAAAAACAACAACCAAAAAAAAAAAAACCCACACCCAAACTTTCAATTCAAAATACCAATTCATTAGCTGGAAATGACCTAACTAATCCTGGTGTTCCAAATTGACAGCAGGCCATAAGAAAAAGCCAGACTTGATCTCTATTCAAGAAAAAAGTGCAATACTCACAAGAAGCCAGTGTATAATGTCAAATACACTGACTGATTGCAAAAAAATGTCCAGTTTCAGTAGTCTACAACTGTTTTACAATGAAGCCAAGTAAGAAGGAACATAAACTACACTGTAATTTGACCCCCCAAAAAAGTAACATGTTTATTAATGTGATATGAAGTTATAAATAAAAGAATAGTTTCACTTGTATGCTAGGTAAAAATCTGACTTCATCTAAGAAGCAGTTGTTAGCTAAATACAGACCGTCTCCTCCCAAGGTCCTGAGTATTTTCCTCCCATGAAAAACCAACTTTGAAATGCTTAACACTTTATGAAAGATTGATTCACCAACACATCCACTTTCTAGTTTACACCTTGCATCTGATTAAGTATTGCAATACCCAGGACTAGTGCCAATAATAAGCATGTTCATTTCCCTTAACTACAGATGCAAGTCCATAATACAGTGAAAATAACATATTTTGAGTTGAATGTGCTTTCTGCTCCTAACAATTAGAGTGTTCAACTGTTTTGAATAACAACTTTCCAGGACTGGCTTTTGTCTTTTGTTTCCCTTTTTCATATTTTTTTTTAAGTCTATCACTGACAAAATGAGCAGAAATGCCTGCTGAGAAATGGCCACATTTCCAGACGACTGCTTGAAGAATTATTTTTCTGATTCATCACAGCATTTTTTTTTTCAAGTTGTCAAAACAACCACCACACCCACTTGATTTCCGAGTTCTTGGTAATTATATTTAGAATTAGCAAGCACTGTGCAACTATTAATCACACAAGGTTTAGCCCTTACTTTACCTATTTAGAAATCAGCCAGTGCATTCAAACACAGCCTGTTTAGCATTTTATTTAAAATACATCCCCATCACTTAATTCTGTACCACCACCACCGACCCAGACAGGCACAGAGAATATAGGGCAGTCCATTCAGTCAATTCCTCTGCCCCAAGGCAGGATCAGCTACTCCTCAGCCACCATTATCGCTGATGATACACAAGAACTGGTTATTTCAGGCAGCAGCTTTACACACGCACTCACAAAACACATTCTAAATTAAAGGAGGGAAGCGTGTTGCACGTCTGCAGTGCCTGAAACTGGGACGGCGCGCAAGCCAGTCTCCGAAAGATAAAAATACAAAATAAAAGCTCCCCGAAGAAGCGAATCCGGATTTTCTGAAAGTAGTCTCTGGCAACATTAACGCCGCTGCCTTCAGAAAGAGTTCACCATGTTTAAACTGGATGAACCGCCCCGTGATTATCACCGAGCCTCCATTAAGATGACACACACAAACAGAGCCCTCGCAGACCTTAATTATTCTTTTCACTGCTCGTACACTGCAAAACACATACTTTCCCCACACACCCCACACCCCCCCCCCCCAGCAGAGGAGCAGCTGCACGCAGGGAGCACAGCGATGTCGCGGGGCTGTCACCGCGGTGGGGGGCCGGGACCCGCCTGCCCTGCCCCGCCTCGCCGCCCCTTTTTGTGCCCAAACCCGCCTCACCCCCCCGCCTGATCCTTCCCGGGAGCGGGGGCACAGAGTCCCCATTGTGGCCACCGGGAAGGGCCGGTCCCCGCCGCGACGCTCCCCCACTCCCGGCTGCTGCTCGGTGCTCGCTGTTACAGTCGCGCCGCTCGGGTTGGCCCCTCAGCGCCCGGCGGGCAGGACCGGGTCACGGCACCGGCGGGCAGCTCCGCGCGGAAGGGAAGGGCGCGGCGCGGAGGGGCCGCGACGGCAGCAAATGTCACGGCCTCGGAGGCGGACGAGCGGCGGCACCCGTGCTCCCCGGGAGCGGGGCGCCCCGGCCGGGAGTGCGCCTTCCTCACGCCTCACACCCGCGGCGGCCAGGTGAGGGGCCGCGTTCCCCCCGCCCCCCGCGCCAGCCCCACCACTCACCGCCGCCACCTCCACCGCCCTCTTCGTCCATGTTGGGGCCGCAGGCAGGGCGCTCCGCAACGACCGCGGCTGAGGGAGGCCCGGGGCTCCCTCCACTCGCTCGGCGCCTCGCGGCCGCTCCTTCTCGTCCTCCTCCGCCGCCGCGCTCCTCTGCCCCGTCCCTCTCCGCCCAGCCCTGCCTCAGCCCCGGCGGCAGCCGCCGCCTCAGCCCAGCCGCCCGCCCCTCTCATGTGACCTACGGAGGGGGGAAGGCAGGCCGCGCCGGCCCTGCGCCGCCACCCCCGCCGCCACAGGGTCGCCGGCCGCCGCCGTGCTGCCTCCTCCCCTCAGGGGGCGGTGGCTCCCCGGCCGTGCCATGCGGCGGAGCCGGCCTGGAGCGAGGACCCCTTCTCCCGCCTTCCCGCTACTCCTGTTCGGTGCTCCCTCCCCGGCAGGTTTCGCACGGTGCGGCCTGGCAGCGCTGAGGACTCTAACACGGCTTCCCTGTGAGTTTTCAGGGGTCGGTAGGGCAGGAAGCGGGGCGAGGGCAGCTGTTGGGGAGCGGGGGGAACCTGGCCTGCAGGACACCCGCTGAGGAGCGGCCTGAGGGTGTTGGCGGAAGGGGCTGAGGGGAGCTGTCGAGTCAGCTGGGTTTCATGTCGGTTGGCGTTCTCTCTTCGGGCCCGTGGTAGCCAGAAAATGTCTGCAGAGCCGCTGGTTCTTTTGGAGAGGGGAAAAAAGACTGGGAGGTGAGAGGAAGGCGAGGGCCGAACTGGCTGGAAGCTGTGTCGTGGTGAAGGGGGACAAGGTGGGTTGAAGTGTCCGAAGAGGAGCCCGAGGCATATGATGTTTCTGCATGTTTTCAGCTGATTCTTGCTTGCTCCTTGTGCTTGAGTCTGGTCCGGCGCTGGAGGCATGCTGGGTGCTTCCAGTGCCACAGGGGTCATGAAGAGCCTTGCGTATAAATGGCATAGTTCCCTGTATGCAGCTTAGGGTTTTGCATTGGTGTGTATTGCCTGTGTTGGTAACAGGAGGGATTTGCCTGCTTGCTGCCCTAGGAGTCAAAGTATCTGTGTGATTTCTTAAGTCCTCAGTAAAGATCTTCAGTGAGATACCACTGGAGTTGGGATATCAGCAGCCTCCAAAGTCTGTAAAGGTAAGCAGAAGTGTGCTGGCACACACCACTCTTCCTTCCTTCCTTCCTTCTCAGGCACCACCCCTCTTTATTTTTTTAAAACCTTTGGTGTCAAAATTTTATTCAAAAAGGAAGCTGTGGGAGGAAAGGGTCAGCCAACAGGAAAATATTGTTTTTTTCATTTTCCTCTTGTAGGCTGGCATGGGACAGAGCACTGTCTAGGAAGCTGTGTTGAGAGCACTCACCTCTTGACACCGCTGCTAATAGGTGGTTGTTACAGACCATTTTGCTGAGAGCTGAGGTTTGGCTCTGACACCTGCTCTGGTTATAAAGAGTTTTACCTCACCTAGAAATCATAAACAACACAGACCTTTAAAATATTCCTATTTCATATTTCAAATTAAACATTGTTATGTTTAGTAAGTGTATGTATAAAAAGGATATGATTACATAAAACAGAAGCATTACCTTGATAAGAGATTTATTTTGAAATGTGTGTCTATAAAGTGCAATTACAGAATGGTTTTAAATCTGAATTCAGATGAACTGACAGTGGGCTTTGAATACTTTTGCACACTGAGCAAACTGTTAATTTACATTAGAGGGGAATTTGGTTCATGAGAAAAATTCTGGTTATATATCCAGGTTGTTTGCTTTCATTTAATCTGTGTTGGTTTACACCTTTACATAAAATATATTCCTTTATTTTGTTATTTTTGTTTGTCAGTATAATATTTTTATCTCTTTCCTATATTTCAGTATAACTTAATATACTTTAGCTGTAAGTAAAATTCTAGTGCAAAATAAAAGACAGCCCAATCGCTAATTCTAATAGCAGAGAAGAGTGAGCCGTGGAGAACAGTCCTCTTCCCACCAGTTCAGTGCAAAATTCCTGTTGACTTCATGGAAGCATTACCAGGTTTTAAAATTCTTCATATTAAAATGATTTTTTGATGCAAGCAAGGTATGAAAAAAAGTCTGTCCTAGTTATAAGTGATCAGCTGAGATATTTTATACAGACTTCATGGTGAAATCAGACAATTCTAAACTTGTGAGATAAGCAAAATGTGCTTTATTATTGACTTAAGCAAACAGGTAAATTTTCAGTATTTTGTGTTATTGAATATGTAGCTTACTGTGTTGTAACTTTGAAATATATGTCATTCAATTCAATACCCTCTCAAGGAAAATCTGTTCTTTCCAGTCCCCTTTTAGTAGAATGACCTACTAATGTTACATAGTACAAAAGAGTGTTGAAATTACAGTGTCTCCTTCAAGGCTGTATGTCTCTGAAATGATGGCAGATATTCCTTAAAACTTGACATTTTCACACATATTATATATATTATAAATAGACTTACTGTTGCATGGACCTGATCCTACAAATGTTCTAGACATAAAACTGCTAGTTCTGTCTACAAGGTGCTTTCTGGACAAAGCTGTTTAATCTTCAGGTGAAATGTGTGATAGAAACTTTTAAGATCGAACCTTTTACCTTGTCTCATTTTCCTGTGTATAAAATATGTCTCATATCTGGCTATAAACCTAACTAGATCAGGAATAGATTTTTGAAAATGTACAAAATCAACTGAAGAATTACAGTCATGGCTCTACATCATAGCTATAGTAGTTCTACCATAGCAGAACTACTCAATAGTTTTGGTAATTCAACAGTTAACAATGCCATTATCATTAAATACTGGGTAGTTCCTTACCAACAAAGGTGCCAGGTAGCAACAGGTTACAATCTCAGCAAATTTCAGGTTGTACCGCAGTAAACTATTTCCTACTCACGTGAATTATTCTCTCACATCTACTTTCTTTTCTCTAACTCTGATAATTTTTCTGTTTTGAAATACATATGAATTTTATTTTTCTCTCCATATTAATAAGGGTTTCAGTCAACAGTTTTCTAAAGATGGCTTGATCTTTTTTTTTTCTTTCTTGCAGTTCCTTCTGTAGTCATAGCTCTATTTTTACCACAAGTATTTTTTGCCAGTTTTATATCCACAAGACTAACCTTCTGTGTTGGAAGAACTTCATAGTCTGTCATTCATGTAAATAATAGTCTAATAGCTGGTCTGTTGAAATTATTTTTATGGGAAAATTGGTCTTTCTCCAAAAACTGCTGTTGGCAGGGTTGATTCCTTAATGATAAATGTGGCTATTTGTTGAATTTTCAGGTAATACACTTTTTCTTTTTTTTTTTTTTTTCTTTTCTCTTTGGGTAGTTTAATATCTGTTTTTATTCAGTTTCCACAAAGTAGTAATTTATCATGTCATTTTTCATTTTAAGGGATCAGGAGCACAACTGTTGTGACATTTGTCCCTACACAGAAAGTCAGTGAAGACAACTGAATCCCTTACATCACATTTTTGTGGTCTAAAAGGTCATGAAATATTAAGCCATTTCTAGGGATTTCATTTTGAACTAGATTCCAAGCAGTAGTGAAGGAAAATGAAAATTACTCTTTACCCTTCTTTTTTTTTTCTTTAATAATCAAAGAATTCAAGAGTAGGAAAGCCTTGATGGTTATCACATTCTTTCCTCAGCAAGAGTAGATTCCCTTTTTTCTGGATTGCTCTTTATTGGTTAATGGAAATTCTGAAAAAACATCTTCATTATTCATCTTCAGTTTACTTGTAGAAATAAATAAGCTTAATCTTACTTTGGGAAGTTTCATCTTCCAGTAAATGTTTCAGTGATGTAAAATTTCATTTTATTACGATAGATTTTGTAAACTTTTTATTTCTAATCAGAAGCATGAGCTATGATGATGTTGATTATATGGATAGTCATTGGAAAGTATATAGTAACATTGTATTCAAAGACAAGAAATAGAATTCTGAATTTTCTCAGTGCAGAAGGAAATAAAATAACTGCCGCTGTGCCATCAGACTAGACATCAGTATCAGACACAGGGAGATGGAACCTTACTGTAGGAAGGAAGAAAGAATCTTTGAAATCTTATTTAAGGAGGTAGTCATCCTGCATGCAGGTATTCCCATTTCATGCATTAGTCAAGACATTGCTAATTCACAAGTCTGGCTTGTTGTGACTTCTGTTAGATTTGGTAAGAAAGATTTTATAGTTACCCTTAAGAAGAAAGTTAATCTTAAAGACACAAACATCTGTACAGTCTTAAGAATATATTCTCAAATAATATAAATATACCTTAAAGAAAACAGATGATGTGCAACATTTTGTTTGTAAACTAGAAGTGCTTTGTTGATTTTACTACTTGCTCACTTAGATGCTCACATTTTTAGAAAAATGGTGCAAGTATTACATTTCCTAAGACCATATCTTGTTGATAGTCAGAATCACTGTCATCGATACTCAGCCACTGTATCAAAGAATATTTTTGTTTCAAATCTAGATGATCAAACAATTTTTATTTTTTAAGAAGCATCACTTAATCGTTTCCAGGCAGGAAAGTCTTAGTCAATCATGTCTTCTTTTCCTTACCTTTTTTTATTTATCAGTACTTGAATAATCTGGTATTCTTAAACCCCTTCGGCAAATTCTTTGACTTCCTCTGTCTGGCAGACAGGTTTTAGCCATCTATTGTTTCTTAAAATGTTTATGCTGTCACACATATCATATTTGTCTCAGCTGGAAAAACACATTTATAGAAAATCCTGTTTGCTAGTTGTCTTAATGGTTTCAGAATTGCTTGCACCTTTCATTTAATCCAAAAAAATTTTACATAAAGTATTCTGTATTGCGTTAGGGAACATCAGAGCTGGAGCATAGCAAGTGAAACATCTTTTATGAATGGTGCTTTTTTTTGTGGATAGGAAGCTCATTCCCTTCAAATAGTAAAAACCCCCAAAGTTAAAGATGCCTCTCTTCTAAAAATTTTGCATGGTTTTTTTTTTTTCAGGTGAACTTTTAAATCATATCCTGAATTTTATTTGCAGCTTATTTTAAATTCCAATTCTTGACATAGTTTGAGGTTGTTGCTTTTTTTTTTTTAATACTTCTAAATGAGCTTAATCTAGTCCTAGCATCAAATATATACTGGTTTTGGAAGTCAGTGCTTGTTTCTGTTGTGTAACACTGATAGGGCCACTGGTGAGTCATGGAATAAAGAACACTAGAATGCTCCAGTGAGGAAAACCAAATACATTAAAAATTGTAGAGGTCCACCAACTCTGTAATGCTTATGATCTGAAATATATTTTGCATTAGAACTTGTTCTACCTGTATTAATTATGCATAGTACTAGACACAAACAGGATGCTTTCTAGCATGAAGGCTGTGCCTAAAAGAAAAAGATTCAAAAGGCATGGGCTGAAACAGATGATGAGTGGAATTTTGCATGATGCTTGAGAGGGTTTTTCTATCAGGAAAATGAAAGAGCTTGATGTAAAGTAATTCTCAAAGGAGAGTGCACTGATTAAGGCCAGACTCTGTTCCCACCCTGAGAAGTAGCCACAATCTGTGAATTCACCTCTGCCAGCTAGCTCCATCTTGGGATGGTTAAATGTATTATCGCATACCACACTCTGGTCTCACAAAGACCTGGGAATTTGAAATTCCTAATTCATCCTACACTGGGAGCTATACTTGAGCTGCAAACCATGCATGGGTCGTGCTCTAGCTGCACACATGGCAGGAGTTGAGGGATTTATTGTAGTAGTGCTGATAACAAGGGAGGCCCCCACAGTTCCCCTCCTCCCCACCCAGAGAAGCCTTCTTAAACAACTCCACAGTGTAACAGTGCTGGCATCCCATGACGCATGCAGCAGCCAAGTGACAAGCTGGACTCACTCATGACATCCAGTGTTAGAAGGGTTAGACCAGGTGCTCTTGTTGATTCACCAGTTAGCGTCTGAAATGCAATTGCATATCTCTGCATGAGCTGGCTCAAATCTTGCAGCTGGCTAGTCAGCAGTGCACAAATCTGGGTTTAATAAATATGGAACCATAAATATAGACAGGAGCAGGAACTGGCAACTAATGATTGTGACTTTTAGTGCCCTCTCAGCTGTTCATACAACTGTTTGTGAAGCCACGCTGTAAATCGGATCACTCAATTCAGATTTTTAAATTCTGTCTAAACTAATAATTTTTAACTAGAATTATTTCATTATGTTCACACTGGTCCCACAAACAGTTGCATTGGCATAATTGCAGCACTGGTAGACTGTGACACACAGATGGTGTAGAAAGAAAGAAGGCAGGCTGCTGGATAGTTATTTTGTCAGGGGGACAATCTCTCCATAATTCTAACCTTATTCTGAACCAGACTCTCCATCAATTTAACTTTCTGATCCTGCATGCTCAGCCCATCTCAAACTGTGCTTATAGTCAGACTTACACGCTTGTTAATGTCTGATCTGTGGAATACTAGATCATCTAATGGTAACAAATTGATCAAAATCAAGATCAAATATGAACATGTAATTGCATTCCTATCAAGATTAGCCAGCCATGAGTTACAGTGTTTAGACCAAGCTTTACCCTGGCTTTATGCTGGCAGCAGAAAGACACGATACCAACTCTAACGTAAAATCACCAGGAGTAAAACCACTAACCACTCTCTTGTTTTGTGAGGGTTTTGGTTTCTAAATAACGTTGTATTGGTAGGTTGAATTTGAACAAAGAATTTTGTGCCATGTTGCCATCCAAAAACTAAATTTAATGTATGCTGATGAGAGTATGCCTTCAGTTTCTCATGTAGTTTATTTTTGAATATGTAGCTCCTGTTATGTCCAGATGAAAAGGGAAGGTGATTCTTTGTTAGAAGGTGATGTGTAATACTTTAAATTCTTACTGTCTCTAACCAAGAAAGGTCCTTATTTATTCCAACTGCTGCACTCAGAAACACACGGGGTCTGAGGCAGTAAAACATTATTTAAATCCTTTCCCTCTCATGGCTATACATACTATTTTATTCCTTTTATATCCCAGTGGATGTTAGAATAATCCCATACACTTCTATACCAAAGCAAAAAGGTTTCGGTATTTTCTTAGCATAACTGAAGTGTACTTTCAATTTAAAAACCAGATCTTCACCTTAATTGTCTATCTCCTGCTGTATTTCTCTTTATAGTCTTCAAGAAAGAAAAACAGTCTCTAA